ACTAGTAGTGTGGCTATATGGCTGGAAGATGGGATGATCAGAGGGTGCTTTTCATTCTCTGTGAGATCAGCAGAGGAGAGACGTCCACCGACTCGTAAGAGGTTGTCTTCATCCACTACAGGATTAAGCTTTTTGACTGCATCAAGTTTTGTGTTTGTCTGTCTTCCTTCTTTAAGGTTCTTGAATGTGTCTTTGTAAGCATCTTGTTGGACAGCTTGCACAATGACTCTTTTTGCTTGCGTGAGTTCTCGGACACTTGGCATTTCACCGAAACTTTTCCATCCCGTTTTTTCAGTTGTCTTTTGTTTGAAGGATGTGACAACATGAATGAGTCTGCCTATGACTCTGCACAGTATTGTCCAACTGGAATGTCTCTCAAAATGCTCAGAGCCTACCTGTGACTCTAGTGTTGTAGTTTTTAGAACTTTCACTTCTGGACGTATGTCTTTGTCTTTTTTTAGTTTTGATGAGTGTGAAAGGATTAGTGTTGTGTGAGTCTGTGTGTGTGTCTGAATACAAAAAGGGTGGACCTGAGAACCAGATACTGTTCTGCAGGTCGGCTGCTGGAATGAACCTAGTGGCTTGGTCAGCTGGATTTAACTCTGTTGTTACATAATGCCATTGGTTGGGATGTGTGGCTGCTCTAATGCTTGCAACCCTGTTGGCACCATACATGTAGAATCGTCTGGAAGTGTTTTGTAGATACCCTAAAACAATTCTACTGTCTGTATGAACCTTTACATTGTCTACTTTAATGTCCAGCTCGTCTCTAATGAGCTCAAACATTTCTACTGCGAGCACAGCAGCACAGAGTTCCAGACGTGGTACTGTGTGTGCAGGGTAGGGTGCAAGCTTAGCCTTCCCCATTACAAACCCAACGTGGTACTGCCCTTCACTGTTAATTGTGCACAGATAAGCTACTGCCCCTATAGCCACAGTGGAGGCATCCGAGAAAATGTACAGTTCTTTTGTTTTTATTGTGCTTAACGTACCTGAGCTGTAGCACCTTGGTATTTGGAGGTTTTCAAGGGCTTGCAATTAATTTTTCCATGAGACCCAAATCTCATGTTTTTCAAGTGGTAGAGGTTCATCCCAGTCTCCCACTTCAGATGACAGTTATCTGAGCAGTGCTTTCCCTTGCATTATTATGGGAGCAACAAAGCCCAAAGGGTCATAGAGGCTATTTACCGTTGACAACACTCCCCTACACGTGAATGGTTGGGGTCTTTTGACACATAGTAAGTGAAGCTATCAGATTGTAGGTTCCCAAAGAGTCCTAAGCTTCTCTGATTTGGGAGAAGATCAACTCCTAGATCTAAATCTTTCAAGTCCTTTGCTCGATCCTCAGCAGAGAAGGCTTCCATGACTTGACTGCAGTTTGATGCCACTTTGTGAAGGCGTAAGTTAGACTCTGCTAACATGTTCTGAGTTCTTGAAAGTAGGTTGATTGCTTCCTCTGGCGTGGCAACTGATGTGAGCCCGTCATCGACATAAAACTGACACTCAACAAACTGTCTTGCATCAAAGTCATGTTCTTGTTCACCCTGTTGTGCTGCGCGTCTCATGCAGTAAATGGCAATAGCAAGTGACGGGCTGTTTCCAAATACTTGAACTTTCATTCTGAACACAACTATCTTCTTTGTAATGCCATTGTCCTCATACCACAGATAGCGAAAATAGTCCCTGTGAGCTTCGCGCACAACAAAGCAGTAAAACATTTGCTGCACGTCCACTGACAGGGCTATGGGTTCTTTGCGAAAGCATAACAGCACTCCTAACAGAGAGTTGTTCAAATCAGGTCCACTAAGAAGCACTTGGTTGAGGGAAATTCCATCACACTCTGCACTAGCGTCAAAGACGACTCGTATTTGTTCTGGCTTCTGTGGGTGGTATACACCAAACGTGGGCAGATACCAATGTTCTTTGTCCACCGGCAGAGGTGGAGCTAGTTCTGCTTGATCGTTGTCCAACATTTTTTGCATTAATTGGACGTAGTGATCCTTCATTTCCGGTTTCTTTTTAAAGTTTTTCTCAGTGAGGAGAGGCATTTTAGGGCTTGCTCTCTATTATTTGGGAGCTTTTTTCTCTGAGAACAAAAGGGTAAAGGTGCAACCCAGCTGTTCTCTTGGTTTTAATAGACTTCATTGTCCATTATTGTTAGGAATGTTTTTTCGTCAATTGACATAGCTTCTTTGTTATCACAGTCAGACCTAACAAACACAGTGTGCCCTAAACAGTCTGTGTCACAGGCAGTGTTCAAAGTGACTCCATAATTCTCTTTAACGTGAATTATGTTTGGGCAAGGCTCAAAGTAGGATGCATGACCATTAACTAAGATTTTAGATTTTAGTAGAGAGGATCATGTGAAGGGTGAAGGAGTACCAGTCAATCAGCAGGTTCAGTCAATCATCTGTGGGTCATATGCTGCTGCCTAATATCAAATTATCAGGGGCCTTCTGATCAAAAAGGAGACAAACAAGTCTAGAGCCTTCCTGCTCCTTCAAGTCACACTTCTTGGATGAACATTCATTACTGCAAGCAGCTGTGTTGGAAATCTCTCCGTATATCTATCTTCTTTTAAAAATCTGTTAATGAATGAATTGATGTGAAGATTTCTGTCAAAACTTTTTTAAATAGCTTTTCTTCAGTAATCTACATATGTACATCTTTTACATTTAAATTGCATCTTTTTGTATATTTTAAATGGTAATGCTCAAATTAAAACTTCTATTGTGTAACAATTAAACAAGGTTTGTGGCTGCTTCTTGCAAACATTCATTTAATAATTTTATTGAACACTGTATATGGAGCGATGTTGGTTAAAAAAACTATATATATATATATATATATATATATATATATATATATATGTATATATCCGAGTCAGAGTCAGAGATTCTTTATTGTCACTCGCACCACATGTGGTACATGTGGTGGAGCGAAATTATGTACACAGGGTCCCAGTTGCATCCAACAATAAAATGTAAAAGAAAAACAATGATAACATCTAATATGTGAACTAAGAAAAACATCAACTAAATATACACTAAGCACTAATAGCATAAAAACATTACTTCGAACGGCAGCACAAACGTGAGCATGAGTCTGTGTGAGCAGATGAGCATGCATGAACACATCAACATTGAAACAGATCAGCAGCAACATGACGTGATTTTTTTCACAGTGATTATTCTGGTTAGAGATCCATGAGTCTAACAGCCTCAGGGTAGAAGTTGGTCCTCAGTCTAGTGGTTCTACACTTAATGCTCCTTAACCTCCTTCCTGAGGGGAGCGGGGCAAAAAGTGTGTGTGCTGGGTGAGTGGAGTCCTTGATGATGCAGGTGGCCCTCTTCCTGCATCTGGAGGTGTAAATGTCTGTGATGGTGGGGACACTGACACCAACAGTCTTCTGTGCAGCCTTCACCACTCTCTGCAAAGCTTTTCTTTCTGCAGCTGTGCATCCTCCATGCCACATGTTGATGCTGGAGCACAGGATGCTCTCCACTGCACACCTGTAGAAGGAGGTGAGGACTGAGCTTCCCATTCCAGCTCGTATCAGCCGCCTGAAGAAGTAGAGTCTCTGATGAGCTTTCTTTATCAGGCTGGTAGTGTTGTTGCCCCAGCTGAGGTTGTCATTCATGTGTACACCCAAGTACTTGTAGCTGGAGACCACTTCCACTGCAGATCCTCTTATGTTATCTTATTGGAGGCCTGCGGAGACCCGGTCCGCCGCTGTTTGGACCTGCGAGCCGTTGAAACCGAGCCGTTTACGGCGGAGACCTGGTCTGCCGCTGTTTGGACATGCGAGCCGCTGAAACCGAGCAGTTTACGTTGGAGAGCCGGTCCGCCGTCGATTGGACCTGCGAGCCGCTGGAACGGAGCTTCTGACGCAGTTTCTTGTTCAAGAGTGGCTTGACCTGGGGAATGCGGCACCTGTAGCCCATTTCCTGCACACGCCTGTGCATGGTGGCTCTGGATGTTTCTACTCCAAACTCAGTCCACTGCTTCCGCAGGTCCCCCAAGGTCTGGAATCGGCCCTTCTCCACAATCCTCCTCAGGGTCCGGTCACCTCTTCTTGTTGTGCAGCGTTTTTTGCTACACTTTTCCCTTCCCACAGACTTCCCACTGAGGTGCCTTGATACAGCACTCTGGGAACAGCCTATTCGTTCAGCAATTTCTTTCTGTGTCTTACCCTCTTGCTTGAGGGTGTCAATGATGGCCTTCTGGACAGCAGTCAGGTCGGCAGTCTTACCCATGATTGCAGTTTTGAGTAATGAACAAGGCTGGGAGTTTTTAAAAGCCTCAGGAATCTTTTGCAGGTGTTTAGAGTTACGTCGTTGATTCAGATGGTTAGGTTAATAGCTTGTTTAGAGAACCTTTTCATGATATGCTAATTTTTTGAGACAGGCATTTTAGGTTTTCATGAGCTGTATGCCATAATCATCAGTATTAAAACAATTAAAGACCTGAAATATTTCAGTTGGTGTGCAATGAATCTGAAATATATGAAAGTTTCATTTTTATCATTACATTATGGAAAATAATGACCTTTATCACAATATGCTAATTTTTTGAGAAGGACCTGTATGTCTTGTTTTTTTTTTTTTAATGTCATCTTTGATGTCACCATTTCACTCCTGCATGATAATAATAATAATAATAATAATAATCATCATCATTTTATTTACAAAGTGCCTTTCAGGACACCCAAGAACACTTTACAGCAAGAAACATATCACATAAGATTGTAAACCAAACACAGTGCAAAGATGAACAGAAATAAATTGAAATGTAAAATACATAAAACATGTTAAGAAGGATAAGTTAGTCTAAAGAGATGTGTTTTCAGAGTAGTCTTGAACAGAGAAAGAGAGGTGGTGTTTCGTAGGTCTGGCGGTAGAGAGTTCCAGAGTTGATGAATCAGTGAGAATCAGTTTAGCTGATTATTTGCTGACACATTTGAGGGTTAATTGTGAATATGTGCTGTCTGTCGTTTTCAGCTTTCTGCAAAGATCCAGCTGGCATCTGGGGAGAATTACAACTTCCACTTACAACTTCTGCACCCCATTGTCCCCCAACAGAGCTGCTTCAAGATCCTCACCACCAAGGTATCACTTAGAATGCTGTTTGTGTGCGTTTCACTTATGTCCTAATGTGCATTCTGACAAATTTGAAGTTTTTTGACATTTAAGTGAGTGAGATGAAGCAGAAACAAGCTGCTCGTTGCACACCTTCCCTCTTCCAGCACTTGTGCTGAATTGCCCATTGTGAGCTAAAAGGTACATTAAAGCTTTTGATGTGCTGGAACAGAGACCATAATAAGTGCTGGTTTTTGTCCTGTTTAGGGTCACTGTGACCACAACCAAGCAACAGTCAGAAACTTGGCACAAGAAATAAAGCCTCAAAATGACCGAGAAGATGAGGCTGATCGCAGTTTGAAACTTTCACGTCATTTATGAAATATGTTTGCTATAAAGAACATACAATGTAGTAATGTCACAGGCTGGGGAAACGGAAGCTGTAGTTTTACTTTCCATCCTATCTTATTTTTGTCTGTCCATCCATCACGGAAGCAACAGGTCCAGGAGAGAAACTCAGACACCCCTCTTCTCAGCAACACTTTACTGCTCATTCTGGGGGACCCTGAGGCGTTCCCAGGCCAAAGAAGATACATAGTCTCTCTAGGGAGTTCTGGGTCTTCCTTGGTGCCTCCTACCAGTGGGACATGCCCGGAAAACCTCTAAATGGAGGTATCCAGGAGGCATCCTAATCAGATGCCCGAACCACCTCAACTGACTCCTTTCAATGCGGAGGAGCAGCGGCTTTAATCCGAGCTCCCTCCAGATGATGGAGCTCCTCACCCTGTCTCTAAGGCTGAGCCCAGCAACCCTACAAAGGAAGCCCATTTCGGCTGCTTGTATGTGGGATCTTGTTCTTTCGGTCATGATCCAAACCTTATGTCCATAGGTGAGTGCTGGAACATAGACGGACCAGTAAATCGAGATCTTTGCCTTTCGACTCTACTCTTTCTTCACCATGACTGACCAAAGCAACACACATTGCTTTCTCAGGGAGGGCAAGAAGTTTGATCCCACGAAAGTTGGAACACACTCTCAGGTTCCCCTTTTTAAAAATGGGAACCAGCACCCTGACCTGCCACTGCACAGGTGTTATCCCAGTCCTCCATGCAACACTGAAGAGACTTGTCAACTATGACGGTCCTACAACATCCAGAGCCTTCAGCATTTCTGTTCGAATCTTGTCCATCCCTGACACCCTCCCACTGAGGAGCTTTTTGACTACCTCAGTGACCTCTGCCATTGTATTGGACTCCTCTATCTTCCCTTGAGTCCTTAGACTCTGTCTCCATGAAGATAGACGTGTGGGCTTGTGAGTATCCCTACATCTTCCCGATGCCTCTCTTTCTGTGCAACTCCGGAATAGGAGAGAGTCCAACTTCTCTCCAGGAGTTTGGTTTCGTAGCCCAAGCTGTGTGTAGAGGTGAGCCCAACTATATCTAATTGTTACCACTCAACCTGACACACAAGCTCCAGCTCCTTACCCACCAGTGAGTTGACGTTCCCCGTCCCTAGAGCTAGTCTATGCCACCAGGAATCGGCATGGCCAGGAATCCACCCTCGCCTGCCGCCTAATGCCCCATTTGCACCGCTTCTACTCAGCCCCAACTCTGCTCAGCCCTCCACGGAAAGCTCCCTATTCCACCAGTACTTTTTAGCTGATTCGGGACCTTTTTTTGTCCCTGCTTCTTTGGTGGGACCGTTCGAGCTGAGTCGAGCTGACTGGACCGAAATGCGAATGCAGGACACTGATTGTTTTTTTTTTTTTGGGGGGGGGGGGGCGGGGGGGGCTGTCACTGGATCTCTCTCAGAAACTCTTAACCGATCCACCATTTGCAATTTCTCGAAATGCGGAGCAGTGGCTGGATCTATTTTTAAGATTTTAAAAACAATAATGACAACACTGTGTTTAATACTGAAGTCCAGGCATTTTTTGTGTTTGGTGACCAACGACAAAATTCGAGCGAGCGGAGTCACACAGAGGATCATACAAGCTGCTGACCCAGTGAAGCACGCAAGGCCGGACCCTGAGCACCGACCTCGTGTACTCGCAAAGACTGGATTACGAGCCCTGGCAGGCACGTGGACGGGGAGGGAGGGTGGAAACATAATTTTTTTTTTTTTTTACATTTTATGTATAAAAAAAAAATATATTTTTTAAATCAGTGAAGAATAAAAATAAATAAATGGTGCCGGTTTTATCATGAAATCCTGTTTTCACTTTGACTTTATTAAATAATCTGTTAATTAAAGTTAACTCAGATGAAAAATCATAAAGACAAAATTATTTGATCTCTCAGGAATATTTCCCTCAAACATGTTTAAAGAAGAGACTTTAGTTCAACTTTATTCTAACCCACAGATGTACAAATCACAAAACAAGAATTACACTTTAAATCACAAAAATAAAATCTGTGTACAAACCGGATTCCAAAAAAGTTGGGACACTAAACAAATTGTGAATAAAAACTGAATGCAATGATGTGGAGATGGCAAATGTCATTATTTTATTCGTAATATAACATAGATGACAGATCAAAAGTTTAATCTGAGTAAATGTAACATTTTAAAGGAAAAATATGTTGATTCAAAATTTCACAGTGTCAACAAATCCCAAAAAAGTTGGGACAAGTAGCAATAAGTGGCTGGAACAAGGAAATTGAGCATATAACGAACAGCTGGAAGACCAATTAACACTAATTAGGTCAATTGACAACATGATTGGGTATAAAAAGAGCTTCTCAGAGTGTCAGCCTCTCAGAAGCCAAGATGGTAAGAGGATCACCAATTCCACCATTGTTGCGCAGAAAGATAGTGCAGCAATACCAGAATGGTGTTACCCAGCGTAAAATAGCAAAGACTTAAGTTGTCATCATCAACCGTGCATAACATCATCAAAAGATTCAGAGAATCTGGAACAATCACTGTGCGTAAGGGTCAAGGCCGTAAAACTCTACTGGATGCTCATGATCTCTGGGCCCTTAAACTTCACTGCACCTCAAACAGGAATGCCACTGTCAAGGAAATAACAGAATGGGCTCAGGAATACTTCCAGAAAGCATTGTCAGTGAACACAATCCACCGTGCCATCCGCCGTTGCCAGCTGAAACTCTACAGTGCAAAGAGGAAGCCATTTCTAAGCAAGCTCCACAAGCTCAGACGTTTGCACTGGACCAGGGGTCATTTAAAATGGAGTGTGGCAAATTGGAAGACTGTTCTGTGGTCAGATGAGTCATGATTTGAAGTTCTTTATGGAACACTGGGACGCCATGTCATCCGTACCAGAGAGGACAAAGATAGCCCAAGTTGTTATCAACGCTCCGTTCAGAAGCCTGCATCACTGATGGTATGGGGTTGCATGAGCGCTTGTGGCATGGGCAGCTTGCATGTCTGGAAAGGCACCATTAATGCAGAGAACTATGTTCAGGTTCTAGAACAACATATGCTCCCATCTAGACGTCGTCTCTTTCAGGGAAGACCCTGCATTTTTCAACACGATAATGCCAGACCACATTCTGCAGCAATCACAACATCATGGCTACGTAGGAGAAGGATCCGGGTACTGAAATGGCCAGCCTGCAGTCTAGATCTTTCACCTATAGAGAACATTTGGCGCATCATAAAGAGGAAGGTGCGACAAAGAAGGCCCAAGACGATTGAACAGTTAGAGGCCTGTATTAGACATGAATGGGAGAGCATTCCTATTTCTGAACTTGAGAAACTGGTCTCCTCTGTCCCCAGACGTCTGTTGAGTGTTGTAAGAAGAAGGGGGGATGCCACAGTGGTAAATATGGACTTGTTCCAACTTTTTTGGGATTGGTTGATGCCGTGAAATTTGGAAACAACAGATTTTTCCCTTAAAATGATACATTATCTCAGTTTAAACTTTTGATCTGTGATTTGTGTTCTATTCTGAATAAAATATTAGATGTTGGCATCTCCACATCATTGCATTCAGTTTTTATTCCCAATTTGTTTAGTGTCCCAACTTTTTTGGAATTCGGTTTGTACAAGAAACGAAAATACATATCTAAATTGAAAAATAAAAGTAGACACAATGAGTGCAAATACATCAAATGATGAAGAAAAATATAGAATTTTAAATATAAATGTTTTTGTAGAATCTGGTTCATTAGATTTAATTCAGTTCAGTTTATTTATATAGCACCAAGTCACAGCAGAAGTCGTCTCAGGGCACTGAACAGAAATATTCATATATAAAATAAGTTAACAGAAACATTCACATTTAAAAATAATTAACAATATTTATCTGAGGAGCAGACTGATTTGAGTTTAACTTATCACAGAACTCTCACTCTTAATGGTGAACTTAATTTCATTAAAAGTTCATTAGCAGGATTTTGGATTCTGGACATGCCTCCAGATCTGGTCCTAAAGTGTGGTGCAAATCCAGGCTGATCTGCGCAGAGTTGGGGCTGAGTAGGAGCAGTGCAAAAGGGGCATAATATGCACAGCACCCAACCTTGACAGACCTCCTCGCAGGATTGTGGGTCCACGTGGAGGTGGCTTTCTGGGGTTTTTGAGGTTTGGCCTGGCTGAGCCTCAGGAGCCAAGGCATTACCACCAGCGAGCTCCCCTCTAGACCTGGCTCCAGGGAGGTTCCCCGGTTTCCTTTTTCGTGTAGAGGTTTCCTCACATATCTGTAGTTTTTTCATCAACATTTTCAATTGCTCTTTTTGTCTGACCCCTCCACTGAGGCCTGTTTGCCATGAGAGACCCTACCAGGAGCTGATGCCCCCGACAACATAGCCTGCATGATCACAGGGGTACTCAAACCCCTCCACCACATTAAGGTGGTGATTCTGTGGATGGGTGCAGTTTAACCTGTGAGCCTTAATGATTACATAGTTTGCATGTTTGCATGCAGACTTTTATGGTTGTAATATGATTTATTAGTTGTGTGCACTTCAAATTATCTCCTGAAACTGCTGATGAAACAAGAAAAATAGCAAAGTATTTTAAGTTTGGCACATTAATGAAACTGTGGCTGATCATTACCACTCTTAGAT